CGGTTTCAAAGTTGTACTATGCTGCTGCACGAAATAAGGTGTGAGCCACTGTATAAGTCTGCGCTCTGCTAACTGCGCAGTAAGCAGTGACTGAAAAAAACAGAATCAATTGTTCGATTATTCTCGATAAAAACTCTTACTGCGTATCGTATATCAGCTCTCTAGCTCTTATATCTTCTGAGATCTTGTCGGTCATACGAACAGATGGACAAGGCAATATCGACTCAGCTCGTCATGCTGATATATGTACATATATATATAATGTATGGGGTCTGCGATGATTCCTTCTGCCTGTTACATAATTTTTCACAAAAACATTATACCCTGATTTCCAATTTTCAATGAGTTCAATGAAGTTCAAGAAGTTAGCGACTGCGAAATATTCAGGGCCAAAACGTTGTCAGATCTCTTATCTGATTTCCCATTTCGTTAATAAATGTACATACATAGTATATGAACATACATATGTAAGTATTATTTCTGTGAAAATCAGTGGAGGACGTCAATTTAAAAGGCCTTTACATACATATATCATCAATATCTTCCATAGCTGCGGATTGATGTGCACTCAAACGGGCAGTCAAAGGGACGGACAGCAAAACACACACTGCAAAAAACTAATATACACATTACACTATCGTAAATGATTTGAAATTTAAGTACTTTTAATTAAATGAGTTTTTAATAAATTACATTTTGCGCCCGTTGATTTGAAATTGATTTTAGTATTTCTGTATTTAATAAATATATTAGATATATTATGCGTTTTTCAAGCAAACGGTCACCCTACACATAAGCAGTTTACTGCAACAGCTGTTTGTCATTGTACTGCGCCACAGCTGTTGGGATTCTTATTCCCAGTAAACGGTCACACTGCACGCAAACAGCAGTCACTTTTTAGTAACAGCTGTCATCTTGTTGTTCTATTGCCGTTCAGGTGCTTCGCTCTCTTTTGTCGCTTGATTAATGAGAATGAACATCGATGAGCTAAATGACGACTGTCTCTGCATTATCCTGGCATATCTGCCACTGCGCGATCAGATAGCCATGGCGCGGTGCTCGTTGCGCTATGAGCAACTGCTGGCCGATATTGTGTGGAGGAAAGCGCGCTATCGTGAAGTATCCATATCGGATGACATGTTGAAGCCACTTAATAAGGAGGACTATATGTTCTTCTTTGAGGTTACGAGCCCACATATGGAGAAGCTGTATATCTGGAATGTACACGAGAAGGCCTTCGACTCGTATTTGGGGAGGCATTTGCTGCGACCCGAGCTCGCATTCTATTTGTGCTTGAGGCTCACAAACCTGCGCGAGCTCTGCGTCACGGATGACTACATGAACAATAGCATGATACAAATTGTGAGCAAAAGCTGTCCTCATTTGAGCAGCTTAAGCGTGTCGAGCTCCTATATAACGGGCCAATTTATGGTCGATCTGCAAAACCTGAATACGCTCGTGGCAAGAGAGTGCTCCATCGAGGCGTCGCACCTGACTGAGATGCTCACCCAGCTGCAGTTAACCACACTGGACGTCACAGCCAATAGATATAACATAGAGCAAACTATACTGCAAGCGCCTACAGCTAGGCTGTTGCGCCTACAGCGTTTGGGCATCTCGGATGCAAAAGACTTTGGCTTTCACATCGGCGAGCAGCTGCCGGCGCTCAGGGAGCTGGTGGTCAGCTACCACGGCGTGAAGGCGGAAGACTTGCGAGATATGTTGGACAATACACGGCAACTGGTTGTGTTGTCCGACTCCAAATTCACAAAGCGCCTGCAGTCGATCATGTGCAATGTGGTTGATGTGGAAGTAGCCCTAGAGCAGATGACGGGACTGGAAACTCGGAGTCCGCGCGCCTCTCCTCAGTTCTGCGAGCTCTTAAAAATCATTTACAAATGTAAATAGGGCATAGAATGTTTCTACTTTGAAGTTATTTTTACAATCTTGCGATTAGATATTCTAATTTTGGCAAGCGACATTCACACAAGTACAGTGCAGCCTTAGTTTGAAAAACCTTATCTGGTCTCAATGAGCTGTGCTGAATTATTAGAGATTTCGAAAAACGACAAGCAAACATTCAAAAACTTTTCCAAATTTTACAAAAAACAATACTGAAAATTTGTTATTGATTTTTCCATAGTTATTATTGATAGTTCCATAGTTTCAAATCGAAGTGCAATTAAATTTTTCTGGACGTTTTTTAATTATAAAACGAAATGACAATGACCAAAAAAAAAAAAAAAACATTATACCCTGATTTTCCATTTTCAATGGGCTCAGGGTATAAAAAGACAAGACAAATAAAAACTGTTAAAACTGTCATGTTACAAATAAGTTATTAAATCAATTTTGTTATTTTATAAAACTAATGATTTCAAAGCTAATTTCATTATACACTAATTGTAAATTTATTTTTAAAGTATAAGAAATCGGACGATTTGAGATTTACTTTGAAAAACCCTCATATGAGTACCCAAAAATTATATTTATTTGATTTTAGGCTTTTTCTGCGTAATTTTGAATGATATGTCAATAAATTCCTACTGTAATTACTCTTGATTTTATAAAGATCTGAACTACCTCTGTATTATGGCATTTCGTAAACTTGATTCCTAGAATTTTATACTATATATTATGTCGGGTGGGCCTAGTTCGATTTCGATAATTAAGCGACTCTATAACCGAAATGCAAACTTTAGCATTTATTAAAGAGCTGCACTACCTCTATAAAATTGATTCTTAAAATTTCGTATTATATATTATATATATTATCGGGCAGCGCAACAGCTTGTCGCTAAGTCTAGTTCGATAATTAAGCGACTCTATAACCGAAGTGCAAATTGTATCATTTATTAATTGGGCGATTACATGAAATTAGTTTCTATGCTCTTTCATTAGGTAAGAGATTATTGATGGTTAAATAATCATCTATCGATCTATCTAT